CTTGTCACCCGTGCCCGCGAAGGCTCGCGCAAGTGCCGGCGCGCCTGTCTCCGAATCTGGACCTGCGTGCTGTCCGTCGCCGAAATGGCGCATGCGGTCTCGACCGCGCCCCTGAAAAGGCCCTTCGCAAAGCTGGTCACCTGGTTCTCGAGCGCCTTCTTTGCGACGATGCGGGGGCGCTTGCTCGGGTCCGCCATGGCCAGCTGCAAGAGCCGATCCTTGATATCGTGCTTGCGGCCCCCTGGGGGCCACTGTCTTGGCCCGTCGAGACCGCGGGGGCATCGTTGCCAGAGTCTGGGTCGCCGACGCCGGCGACCGCGGCTCGCTGCCCACGGGGGCCGCGGCGCTCAGGGTCGCCGGCCCACTGGCCCGCCTGACCGCGGGCATTGCAAATGGGCCTTCTTTTTTTCCCTCGCCTTCAGCCTCCGGGCAAACCATTTCTTCCACCTCGAGCTCGGCCCCTCCCGACTGAGTCGCCGCCGCGGCCGCCGAACATCTCGCGCCGAGCATCCCCGGTGGCCGCGGGCGCCTCCTGGAGCGGGGGAACCTTGATCGCGGCCTCCTCGAGGGCCGTCGTCTGGCCTACGGAACAATCGATGCCGGCGTCCTCGAGCTCCGTGGCGAGGGCCTCGGGCTCCTGGCGGACGAGCCCCTGGGCGTCGCCGGCCCCGACCAGGTTGAGTTCGTTCTCGTTATGATCCTCGTCGTCGTGGTCGATGTGGGGTGACCCCTGCCTCTGGCCTTTCACCTGGCTCGCGCTCGGCGATGCGCGCTCCTCTTCCGCTCGGTGGGCCACCGCCGCCCTTGAGTCCGCCTGGGCCACGGCGCCCCCTGCGAGACTGGAACCGGCTTCTGGGCGGCGGCTGGGGCTTTCGAGGCACCGTGGCGCGAAGGTATGGGAAGAGCCTGGTCGCCGCCTTCTTGACGTCCGTGAAAACGCGCCTACCGTCGGGGAGTGGCGCCACCACTCGCGCTCGACGCTCGCCTGCCAAGCAGCACTTGACTGACCACTGGCCAAGGAAGTCGTCGCTTGGCTATCTGCAAACTTGACTCCGTTGCCCTCCAAGCACTGGATGCCATCTTCGGACCTTGGGATGAACTCCGTGATGCGCTCGCCTTGCCGTCGGTTGTAGCGCGGCGACTCGACCAAGTCGTGCGCGGCCCCTCCGCGACGCAGGGCCTCATGCGGATTGAGCGCCTGCTCTAGCGCCGGCAATGCCCCGCTGATGCCTCGCATGTGGTCTGCCGGGGCAGCTTCCTCAATGATGTTGCCAGTGCCGTCTAGCTGCTGCGGCGTTGCCGGGCCTGGCTGTAGCTCGCCACGCGGGGTCCTCGCGCCAGCGCGCCTCGCGTTGCAGCCGCGCAGTACTTAACGTCTAAGTTCGCGCCGAAGGCCCGAATGTCTAAGTCGTCGCGTTACGCCCGCTGTGTGGCGCCACGTCCCAGACCAGAAAAAGTCCGCAGCCTTCGCCTCCTGCTTGGAACGAAGAAACCTTTCGATCGCGGCCTCCGAATGCCACTGGTATTCTGGATGTGTGCCCGACGCTGTCGGGATCGTAGTCTCCTCGACGCCGTCGAAGTTGCCGAGGACCGGCCTGCCGAAACGGGCTCTGCTACCACCGGCGGAAACGCCCTAGCGGCAAGGAGTGCCGAACGCGATCGATTATGATGTTGCTATCCAGCGCGCGGCGCCAGCGGGGGCGAGCTCGCTCCTGTCGCGTTGTCTTGCTTTTCGCTGGGGGTTGGTACCGTAAGAAGGTCAAGGGCCCTGTAGGTCGATCGGACAGGGCCAACGCAGCAGCGGAAGGCGGCCTGGTAGGGCGCGTGAGGAGGGACAAATCTGGCAGGAAAGTTTTTCCTGGCGTGGGCTCTCTCACCGCCTGGAGTTCCGCCTGGACACTTGGCTTCACAGAGGTCTCCCTCCACAACGTCAACGTATTCGCCAAGCTCTAAAACATAATCGCCCCCCTCGAAGTCGAAGACGTCCAGCTTCCTGTACGCGATGTCGCACATGGGACTGTAAGTTTAGCAGCGCCAGACTTCTCGCGATCCACCATGAGGGGCGGAACCACGTGGGAACATAACGCCGTGATCGCATCCTTGCGCTCCGTATTTGCAGCGTCTACTCGGAACGTGGGCTGGCTGAGCACCAGCTGCTGCGCCTCCACCTGCTCCTGAAATCTGTGAAAGAGCATGATCCACCGCCGCTTTACTGTGGAAAATTGCCGCCCTTTTCCTCCGGAGCCCGGGGGTCCCCTTTCCCCCCCATCCGAAAATCCCCCCCCCCCCCTGCTGGACCCCCCCCCCCCTTCCCCCGGCAACCCCCCCCCCCTCCCCTAACCCCCCCCCCTCCCTCTTCAACTCGAAAACCGGGGGGGGGTCACTACCGGTTCAAACCCCTCCCCCCCCTCGAAAACCGAAGGGGGTCACTATACCGGTTCGGACCACTGAGCTGTCCCACTGCCCCCACTGTCCCCGCCACTGTCCCCACTGTACCTCTGTCCCATTGTCCCACCGCCGTCCTCGCCACCGCCTTCACCACTGTCCCCACCACCACTGTACCCTCCACTGTCCTACTGTTTCCACCACATCCCCACTGTCCCCACGCACTGTCCCCACCACCACCGCCCCCACCACTGTCCCACTGTCCCCACTGTTCTCCATTGTCCTCACCATTGTCCCCACCACTACCGTCCCCACCACTGTCCCACTGTCCCCACCACTGTCCCGCTGCCCCCTCACCACTGTCCCCACCACCACCGTCCCCACCACTGTCTTGGACGCCCGAGTCATCCGGGGTAACTCGGGTCCCGGGTAACTCGGGTTTGGTTTCCCGAAAAACGAACCCGAAATATCCCTGACCCGAGCTATCCCTGCTGATTCGGGGCTCTGGACGCCCGAAATATCCGGGGTAACTCGGGTCCGGGGTACTTCGGGTTCGGATTCCCGATTCAGAATCACCAGGCGCGTTCGCCTGTTGCACCTAGAGGTCTGAACTCGGTCTGCTGCTCGAGCTAGGTCCGCGAATCTATTCGTCAGGCGCGTCGGCCTGTCGCATGCAGAGGTCTGAACTTGGTCCGCTACACGAGCAGGTTCGCAAAAATATTTGTATCGCTCGACGAAACTATTCGTATCTTTCGAGTCATCTCGAGAGGTGCTGTCCCTTTCATAACTCGGGCTGTAGGAGAGCTACAGAGCTGATGCGCACATAATCTGATTTGGAATCATCAGGCGCGTTCGTCTGTTGCATCCAGAGGTCTGAACTCTGCTACCAGGTCCGCGAAACTATTCGTATTCTTCGAGTCACCTTGACAGGTGTTGTCCATTTTCTGTATTAAACTCGGACTGTAGGAGCACAGAAACCGATCCAGAGTTACCCCTGATGATTCGGGGCTCTGACTGTCCGCACCACCCCTCGGTTTTCGAAGGGGGGGGGGGTTCGAACCGGTAGTGACCCCCCCCCCGGTTTTCGAGTTCGACAGGGGGGGGGGGTTCGAACCGGTAGTGACCCCCCCCCCTTTTCATGATGAACTGGGGGGGGGGGGGGAGGGGTTCGAACCGGTAGTGACCCCCCCCGGTTTTCCGGAGGGGGGGGGGGGGAGGGGTTCGAACAGGTAGTGACCCCCCCGGTTTTCCGCCAGCAGCGGTAGAACACGCTCTTTCAAATCTGTTAAGCACTGCTGTCTGCTTGGCGACCTTTACCTCCAGGTCCTTGACCGCGCGGTGAGATTTGTCGGTCCGGATCTGCGGAATACATAGCGCCCAGACATCTTGTCGAAGAAATGTTGGCAAAAGGCTACCAGATGTTGGTGGTCTGCCTTCCTGGAGGAGGGCCGCCAACTGCTGCAGCTCTTCCGGCTACTCATCAAGAACAGCTGATACAGGCCCAAGAAGAAGAGGGGAGTCACGGATATCGCAAGGTGGCCTCGCAGAGGGTGACATTTCCCGTTGCTGTGATCAGCTACCCCCCGCACGGTACGAGGTAAAACCACACCCAAACGAACCGCACCTTCCTCAATGCAAGCTGCAACGTTTGCACCAACGCTTGGCGTAGTCGTTCTTAGAACAGCCGTATCCCGAGCACGTCCGGGACGCGAGGTACCCCAGTTCTCCCATGGCCGCATGGTTCCTGTGAGCCTGCTGAAGCAATCGTGGAGAGGCCTGCGCCGCCAGGGTTGGCGTACGCAGACGTGCGCGTAGAATCTCACTTGGGGCTCTCGAGCCAGCCAGTCAGCTGCGATCAAGCTGAAGCCCCCAGGGCTCCGGGGCTTCAGCTTGAACCTCCTCCTGATCCTCCTTCTCCTCCTCCTCCTCCTCCTCGTCCTCGTTCCTCGCCACTCCTTTTTATATCCTCATCCCCTGAGCGCTGCCCAGGAAGAGGTAGCCCAGCTGATGCCAAATAGAGTCGGAGCTGCCAGGACTGTGGGATACTCGTGGCCGATGGGTGTCTGCGCATCCCCGCCCAAGGGCGTGCAAATGTGCGCGCGGGAATCGGCATTCTCGACACCAGCGGCGCTTGGAGGGGCGATCGCGGGACACAATAAGATGTTTGACTCCTCTGGAAGTCCAAATGCGGCCCTCCTTTTCATCCTCCTCCTCCTCCTCCTCCTGGCCCGCAGGTTCGGGCTGTCGGCATCGGTGTTCGGTCGAACGCAACCGTCCCCCCCCCCAGGGGTGGTCGCCCCTGGGGGTAGGGGGTGATCAAACAAGAGGCCTGTACGTGAAGAGTGGGAACCACGAAAGGCAAAGAGTAACCACCAGGGGGCGACGTAGATGTGCCCTCCTGCGCCCCTCTTCCACCTGCTCATTCCTCCTCCTCCTCCGTGCTCCTCGCTCCTCGTTCTTCGCTCCTCTTCCTCTTCCTCCTCCTCCGCCTCCTTCCTCTGCCTCCTCCTCGCGTCCTCCTCCTTCTCTACCTCTTCCTCTGCCTCTTCCTCCTCCTCCTTGCCCTCCTCCTCCTCCTCCTTCTCCTCCTCTTCCGCGGCGCACTCCCTGCGGTCCTCCTGCGGACGCTCGTGCAGTTCGGGCGACGGGGCTCGGCCGAAGACGGCGCACAAAACCTGGGGCGCGCGGGCGCGGCCCCCCGGTTTTTGCATTCCTTCTCGTCCCCGAGATCTTGTCCGTTCAGTCGCGAGCAGTCGCGGAGGAGGAAAAGGAGGTGGGGGAGGAAGGGGGAGGAACAGGAGGAGAGGGACGGGAAGGGGGAGGAGGAGGAGCAACAGGACGAGTCGGAAGGCGAGGAGGAGGAGCAAGGGCAGGAGGACGGGAAACAGGAGGAGGAGGAGGAGGGGGAGGAGGAAGACCATCGAAAACCCAAGACCCATCACCAATGTTGCAAAACCCTCCCTCCAAGTTCCCTTTAATCATATGTTCCCATTCAAGGGTGTGATAGCGTGGCATGGACCTATAAGCGGGCGCGACGTGGGAGGCTCGCCGAGCCCCGCGAGTCGCGGGGCACCGATCGGTTGACAATGGCCTGATGGAGGTGATCAAATATTCCCCCGACTCGAAACAAAACTAACTGCCACCTCGACAGCCTTCGAAACTGGCAGCACCTTCCCAGATCGTTTCCCCCAAAGGGAACGGCGAGGTCTAATCTGGATCCGCAGCAGGTTCCCATGATGCTGCCCAACCCTCCATCTGACTCTGGTCGGGCCTCCCACTATACTGCCCTCCCTCCAGCAAGCCCTCGAAACTGGCGACAACTTCGCCGATCGCAGCCCCCCAGGAATGGGGAGGTCAATGCTGAATCTGTGTAGGCCCCCCCCACGAGCCCTCGAAAATAGCGACAACTTCGCCGATCGCAGCCCCCCCACGGATGGCAGGGTCTAGTCTGAATTCACGTGTGGCGTCACTGTGCTGCTCCCGCACCGGCAGCCCTCGAAATTGGCGACAACTTCGCCGATCGCAGCCCCCCAGGGATGGCGAGGTGTAATCTGAATCCGCATATGGCGTCACTGCGCTGGCCCCACCCAGCAACCGTCAACCCTCGAAATTGGCGAGGGTTTCGCAGATCGCACCCCCCAGGGATGGCGGGGTCGAAGCCGAGCCCGCGTATGGCGTCACTGTGCTGGCTCTCCCAACAACCCTCGAAAGTTGCGGCAGATCCGCAAATCGCAGCCCCCACCGCCGATGGCGAGGTGTAATCCGAATCTGCGTGTGGGGTCAGCGCGCTGGCCCCACCAAGCAGCCTCTAAAGTGGCGGCACTTTCGCGCATCGCAGCTCCCCAGGCATGGCGAGGTCTGGTCTGAATCCGCGTATGGCGTCACTGCGCTGGCCCCACCCTGCAGCTCTCGAAAGCGATGGCAGTTTCGCAGGTCGCAGCCCCCCAAGGATGGCGAGGTCGGAGGCAGGTACGACCAAGGTACAGACAAGAGGAGAGAGAGAGATAGAGAAAGAGAGAGAGAGAGAGAGAGAGAACACAACGACACCAACAACAGCAACAACAGCAACAACAACAACAACAACAACAATCATTTTAAGACTGTTCGCCCTTATATGCTCGAGTGTCCAATAATGCGTATTTCCCAAACTCTCGATACCCGCCCTCTTGGTCTTCGATCGACCCCCTTTTGGGGGGCATACCTTTCTTCCCTGCAGGCCGGGCCCCCGCAAGCGGCGGGACGGCCGCGGACCGTCGGCCTGGCCAGCGGCAGCGCTGATCGGCGGGGCGGCCGCGGACCGTCGACCCGACCCCAAGAGGAACGGACAGGGGACCGATCACGACGACGACGACGACGACGCCGAAGACGACGGCGACGACGACGGCGACGACGAGCGAAAGCGAGAGCGAGAGAGAACGACAGCAGGGCCACGAAGGGCACGAAGTAGGCCACGAAGGGCGACAGCGGGGACACGAAGGGAATGCGTATGGGGCCACGAAGAGCGCGAACGAGCGGGGGCCACGAAGTGCATATAATGCGGGGCCACAGAAGGCAACTAGAGGGTAGCAACTGGGCCACGTAGGACAGTGAGGGGGACACACAAATGGTGACAGCGGGGCCACGAAGGGCATGCACATGGGTCCACAACGTGCGCGACTCCTGGGTGCCTGGATGTCGGGAGCGCGGCGCTTGGGCAAATTGCAAGAAATTCCAACGCAAGGCCATTCTTCGAAATCAATAAGTTGCAAGCAAACCTCCAGCGAGAGCGCGACTCCAGAGCGCCGGGAGAGCGATTCCTGAATAAATTGTAAGGAAGTCCCACGCGAGAGCGCGATTCCTGAATAAAATGCGAGGACGTTTCGGGCGGGATCGGGGGTCCTGGCTAAATTGTAAGGAAGTCTCAAGCGGGAGCCGTTGTTGTTGTAACCCGGGGGCCAGGGGCCCAGTTTGAGCAGGAAGACTTCCCCTGTCAAAAAACAGGGTGCGAGCGTCGAGGGGCACACTTTGATTTAGAAAAAACAGTATCCACTGGGGGATCAACAATAATTATTCTTTAGAAATGAGAATTCAATCACAACAACAACAACAACAACAACAACAACAACGACAACGACAACGACAACGACAACGACAACGACAACGACAACGACAACGACAACGACAACGACAACGACAACAACAACCAACCAACCAACCAAACAAACAAACAAACATAAATAAAGAGAGGGAAGAAGGAAACGGGAAGGAGGACGAAAGAAGGACGTGACCACAATGCTCTTTTCAAAACGAGAACCCAACAACGGAAGGTTGGGAACTAATTTCACTGCGGGGAAAGCCCCGTTGGAAGACAACCGGCTGGAAATGTTCAACCGTGCCGCCACCATTCCCAGGATTGCAACGCCGCGAATCAACGCTACTGCTGCGACCTGAAAATCCTAAGTCGTGCCGGAACACCATTTCCGAGACGTCGACGCCGCGATTCAATTCCATTGTCGCGCCACGACAATCCCAAATCGCGCCAGAACGCAAACTCTGGGACGTCAACCTTAAGATTCCCTGAAATTGCTTGAGACTGTTGAGACGAATGCGCGCAGCGCGAGGCGCGAACCACATTGTAAGGGGCCATGAAACACACACACACACAAATAAATACACACAAATAAAAGGATTCCCCATATTTTCCCATACTTCCGAGGGTTTTGTCTTCCCCCCCACTTCCCATGTTTTCCAACATTTTCTGGGGAATCAAAGATTATTTGTCTGTGTGTTTCTTTCCCTCCTGAATATTTTGGGAAACGGCACGCCGCCGAAACGAAACCAACACTCTGCAAACCGCCGGCCCTCCGTCCGTGAAGCCGCTGCAGCCTGGCAGCGCGAACGTGCGCGGCGCAGACGCGACAACCACACATTGAAATAGGGGGAACGAAAAATGGCATAAACATAAAAACTCAGAGGTTTGCGCGGATCCAAGAAATCCGCGCGGACCTCCGAATTTTTATGCTCTTGTCATTTTTCGTTCCCCTATGAAAAACGGCCCGCCCTCATCCGGGAAGCTCTTGCGAACGTGCAAGGTGCGAAAGCGGGGACCACATTTCGAAAACGACCCGCCCTCCATCCAGTGGGACCGCTGCAGATTTCAAGCCTCAAGGTCACAAATGGCGTCTCAATCTCAAGCGAAACGCACAGCCCGCTCGGGGCCCATGGTGCGACGGGGAGGAGGTATTCGTAAGGACGAAGGAGGGGGGGGGGACAGGGCAGCAGTTAAAGAGCCCAAGTTGGAGAGGGGAAGCGAACTACTATTACTTCGCAGACATTCGAAGAGCAAGCGACGCAAGGAAGACGGGAAGAAGGCGAGGAGGGCCGACTCAGCAGCGGACTGGAGCTTGGGCCAGCCGAAGGGAACGGCGGGGATGGAGCATCACGTGCTGCAGTGCTTGACCACATGCTTCTGAAAAAGGCGGGTGGCATGGTGGCAGCGCGGCAACACGCTGCCAGAACCAGGCTGGCAACGCCCTGCCCCACCCGGCGTCAGGCGAGGGGCAGCGGGCACTCAGGCAGGGCGCCGCACCCGGACCCTCCGGGGCCGCCGAGGACGTTCCCACAGGGGGCGCCGCACTCCTGCTGTCAGGGAGGGCCTGCCATTGCACGGAAGCCTGGAGTGGCGCAAGGGGCGAGCGGCGATACTTGGCCTCTGGTTATGATTTCGAACTCCCAAAAAGTATGGAAACAGTGTCGAACGAGTATCGCCTCCCAGGGCCCGACACGTGAAAACCCTCCAGTTTCGGTGCTTTCTTCGGGAGCGGCCAAGAGGGGGGTGTCCAAGAAGAAAAGGGGGGTGCAAATCATGACCGGCGGCACGTGCGCGGCCCAGCGGGGGGCCAGGGACGTAATGAAATGAGAAGAGGCGCCATGATATCTGGGGGAATATCATGGCCCACGCCATGATATCCACCCCCCCCAAGTCATCACCTCCCTTTTTGCCGCCCCCGATTTCTGGGTGCTCGAAGTTCTTTCTGGTGATCAAAGCTAAAGTAGGTTGGAAAAGCATACGCCTTTGGGATGGTCGGGACCCCCCTCGCACGGCAGCGCCAGCCTGTGCCCCCGCTCGCTCTCGTGCAAGCACCGCACTGGTCGCAGAACACGAACTGGCCCGCGCCCGTGCAGCTCGTGGCCGGGAGCGGCGCCGCGCGGGGCTGGACAATGATGTCCGTCTCCCCCGCCCCAGATGAACTGCGTGTGTTGGGAAGTCGAACCTGGTTCCCAAAACAGTGCATTGGGAAGTGAATTGGGGATTTTCGGGGAAGCAAGTTCGATTTCCCAACGCACGCAGTTCATCTCAGGCCAACTCGAATATAGCTCCAACGCCCCCCTCCACCGATCGGGGATAGAAAAATCGGATACAGGAGGCTCGGGTTGGCCTGACGGGGCCACCATAGAAATGACGGGGCTCAATCTGGAATTCGACGCGAGCTCCCGCTGCAGACATCCCACGAAAACCGGAACGTCAAAATCCAGGACGCGCTCGTCAAAAAACGCCGGCAAACCCCAATTCTGGCTTACCCGAGTCTTACGTTTCCCCGAACCGACGGCCCAGCCTCCATTTTCTGGAGCAGGGTCGGCGGCGGAGCGCGCGCGGGTCTTTTCTTCTGGGCGAACAAGCGAATCGCCAGCAGACCGTGCACCGCCGGGCCCCCACCCTTTTTGCCAGATCAGGGAGCGAGCGCGCGAGCCAGCGGGAGGGTTCTGCCTTCGCCAACGGGGACCCCCAGAGCCCGCGGCGAACCTCCCAATGGAACCCCCCGAAGTCGGGCGAACGCAAGCAACCCCCGTCACCGCAGCGAGGACAGCCTGGCCCTCCCCCGAACGTTTGGTCCCGGTCTGGATATTCCTGGGTCGGGGCCGCCTGCAAGCCAGCTCCACCTTCAGTTTCTACATCCGCCACGCGATTGCCTCGGAGATCCAGATTGATCTTTTAGAAATCGTCCGAAGTGAACTTGGCATAGGCCCGAATCTTGACAGCATGACAGCAGCCATCCCCAGGGAAAAAGTCCTGTAGCAGTTACCAGATCCTACTCCAAAGATCGGCGCGCGGCCGCTTATAGGACGGGACGAACCGATGGACACAATTTGTTATCGATGCGTTCCGGGGATTCCGGAATTTCTAACACCTTTCGCGCGGGGTACACTTTGCGTCGAATAGTGTCTACTCTGCCTGGCGTCGCTGGTGGGTGACCCATTCGCAATCGAGTAGTCGCGCGCGGGGGTCTATTTCGCACTTGCTGATCCCTCTTCTCGTTGCCGAGCGCGGGGGGGGACGGTGGCGCACCGCCCCGTCGCACGCCTCCGTGCACTGCGCACCTCGGCGAATGTCCAAAGACCTGGTAAGGCAACTCACGCGCGGCTCTGGGAAATTCTCCGTCTGAAAACATCCAAAAACGTTTTTGAAAATTGTTGCATACTGGTGAAAACATCCCGGAATCGATTTTGGAAGATTCTGGGATCGGTTTTGAAAAATTCCAGACTCTATTCTGAGAGCGTCTGGATTCCAGAATTCTTCAGATGTCCTGCGCGGCGGGCGCGTTCCACCCTTCAAGACGATTTCTTGACAATTTCTGGGCCCCATTTCGAAAAATTACGGAACCGCTTTTGCGAAACACGGCCGCGTTTTTGTTGAAACATTCTCCAATCCGGAGGTAATTGCCGGGCGGTCTGACGGGCGCGACCGGCTGATTCACGCGCCGCGCCGCGTGCGATTGGGCGCAGCGCGCGCCGCGCCCTGCGCCAGCGAACAGCACTCGAAGGGGTTACCTCGAAAATGGCGCCACGGCAGCTGCGTCTCGCGGACTCCCCAAGAGAAAAACATGATACAGCTGGGAATCTCCGAGGGCGATCCGCTGCGCGAGAATGCACCGCGCGCATCACGCAAAGAATCTGCGCGACGGAATGCGCTCGACCATTCGTCCCTGGAGCCCGTGCGGAAGGACGTGAAAACCTGGAGCTCTTGAAAACTATCATTATCAATAGTTCATGCTCTGAGCTTAGCTGAGCACCGCTATCTCGGACCCCCGCGCAGACCTTAGCTGTCCGAACCGCTGTCGAACCCAACTCGCAGCAGCGGGCGCGCACTTTCCAACGCCTCAAAGAGGCCGCGCAGCTCGGCTCCGAGAACAAAAGCTAAGCACCTCAGCCCTTGGCCTCTACGGCCGCCCCCTCCTGGCCCAGAACAAAAATGTAGCCCCAGCCGGAACTCGTGAGTCCTGGTGGGCCTCTGGCGGAACCGCCGGAGTGGGCACATCACGACAGAACGGTGCGCGAGAGAAACGGTGGCATTGGCAACCTGCCTCGTGGTGGCAAGCTTGGCAAGACCTGCCGCCCCCACGCTCCGCCTTCCAAGCCTCGTCTTGGGCCCAAAAGTTTCTCCCCGGGTACGCACGGATAGCCGCTCTCCCCTGAGGCGATCGGTTCGCCTCTCTCTCGGTCAACGCACGGATGGGCTCCAGGAAAGGCCTCAAGGTCCCGAGGCCCCTTGGGGGCCGCCCAGGCCGACAACTGGATGAACTCAAGCCGCCGGGGGGTCCCAGACTGCCCCTGGTGATCCAGAGAAGCGCGCACTGCTGGCCAGCTTCATGGCATGAGGCGCAAGGTGGCTAAAACTGCGTCTGCGGGGCCCTCGATCAAGCGGCAAAGGTTCTGACCAACTGTTGCTGCCACGGCCGCGGCAGGGGACTGTCTCCACCCCGATGCTAGCAACTCGGAAAGGCGATCCTCGTAGAAGGCCTCCGCTCACTTGACCAGTGGCCGTGAGCAGGCGTCGGCCAGCGGGTCACAGCAATGGGTCCGAAGTCTAAGCACGCGATCGTTCCTTACAGAGTTCCGTCCGAGGGCGCTGATCATCAGGTACGGGTCTTCCCGAGACGCGACGCCATGCCCAGGCACGTGGCTACATTGAAAACAAAGGGTAGGCAACCCATGCAGCTTTGAACGGTGTGGCCCCCCTGCTCGGCGAGGCGGACTCGCTTGGCTTTGCGACGGCTGACGCTAGCCAGACGTTCCTGGCAACGAGAGCGTGTGCCCACTGCCCCGCCTCCAGCGGAATCCACTCCTAGCTGCGAGCTGCTTCCGTGGACCTCGAGCCCCAGCTGACGGATTCGGACCCTGGCGGGCCCCAGGCCGACCAAGATGTCCCCTTTCCCTGTGTGGAGGGGGGCTGGCGGAGGAGGAGGAGGAGGAGGAGGAGGAGGAGGTGGAGGAGGAGATGGAAGAGGAGCCCACACATTCGACGGTCTACCATGCCCACCGCGAGCGGCCCCTTTTTGAATCTGCAGCCTTCTTGCGATCGCTGCACGCCCCCGGCAGAGGTTCCTTTGAGGGATTGTCTCGCGGACATCCGAGTTCCGAGCTCGTTCTCCAATAATCCTTCTCGTCATGCACCCCTTCTCTTTATATTACCCTCCTGCTCCGCCCACCCCCCCCCCTCTTGTGTATAATCCTCCCCGTCCTCCTTCCTCTCGGGAAAGTGGGGGGCAAGATGGGGGGGAGAAGAGGTGGACCGGTCATGAAGGGAGCGGGGGCGGGAAGATGGCAGGAGCGCTGGAGGGAAGGGCAGGGAAGAAGGCAAGGAGCAAGTTCGAGAAGGCAGGCGAAGGGCGCCGAAGTTCGCAAACTACCCAGATTCGATACTGGTGAGCGACAGGCATCCTGGACCCAGATGAGCAATCACCCCCTCCTCTCACGCCGCCGCATACATACTCACGCATGAGCACAAACGCAACCATACACACATTCACATGCACACCATGCATTCAGTCACCCGCTCGCTCATCCTGGCAGCCCGGGCCATGGATCGCAAGCACCCCTTTTGCACACATGTGCCTGGTACAGGCTCTCAGCGTGCCAAGTCGGCATATTTGCGAGTGTGCAGACTCTGAGATCGCTGAATTGTGGCGGCCGCGCTAGAAATGATCAGAAAATTGCTTCGCTTCAAACGCTTCGCTTTGTCGGAACCACTGCAGGGTACGGCTGCCCACAAACAGACAGTGGCCAGCGTCAGCAGGCGGCGTCCCGAGCATGGCACCCCTAGGACGGGCACACATACTGCAAAGAGGCACTCTGGGTCTCAACGACCGGCTGACACTGTGGGATGCCCATGACGCCAGAATGTTGGCTGGCAGAAAAAGCGCTAATGAACTCAGAGTCGAAGCCAGTCGCGTGCGGCAAAAACGAGCAGCCTGGGACCAGACTCAGGCCCGACCAGTCGCCATCGAGACGGTCGGCGAAGGTGGCAGGCATAGCAAGGCTAACGTCGGCCCCTGCAACGATACTTCCTGCGGATACCCCGACGTATGCAAGCATCCTACTTGCATTTCTTACTCGATCGCGCAGTGCATCTCCAAAGGAGGTGGAGGAAGAGGCGAAGCGTTTTAAATCGAGCTTCCGCCTGAAGGCAGCCATCAAGAAGAACGCGTTGCCTCCCTCCACAAAAACCGCCGCGGCTCCTTGCAGCTTGCGGTAGATCGCGTCGTCGGTCATATTGCGGATAACCTTGACGAAACTACCGTTGCCCTGGCCCTGAGAGGCCCGCTCCCGCTCCCTGGCGGCAGAGTCCAGCAGGACGCAGTACACCTCCGAAGCCCCGAGGGCGCTGAGCTCGCCAGTGCGCAATTGGCAATACTCCTCTGGCGACCTGCCGAAACCAGGGACGCCCTGATCGTGGGAGACGTACACGGCATCCATCACGTACATCACCAGGCCGCTCTTCTTATAGAGGAGCAACGAGTGGCATGAATATCAACTTTCGGAGGTCCGCGCGGATTTCTGGGATCGGCGATGCCCCCCCACTCCGTGTCGCGCAGAGCGCACCATGGGCCGCGCCTGGGGCGCCGCCAGGGGGGCCCAGCGGCGAATCAAGAAATCTGCGCGGACCTCCGAAAGTTTCTGTTTGTGTCACGGTTTGTTCCTCGATCTTTCCCCAGTCGTCCCTGCCCTCCTTCACGAACTCCTGGAACACGCTCTGGGAGCGGGGCGAGGCAAGCCCGTCGGCGGTCAGCAGCAGCCGCTTGCGCGGGCCGCCCCCGACTGGGCACCCGCGCTCGGGCACGCTCAACTGCAGTGGGGGGCACTGGAGCACCAGCAGGTGCAGCTGGCACCACACGAAGTAGTCCCACTGCGCGCCGCGCGCGTAAATAGAAGAAGAAACAACTGCACAAACATAAACTTTTGGCGCTGCGCGCAGGTTTCGTGGATCTGCGCTGGGCCTCCCTCCCCGGCGCGCGGAGCGAGACAAGGGCGGCGCCAAAGGCGCCGCCGGGGGGCCCAGCGCGGATCCAAGAAATCCACGCGGAGCGCCTAAGTTTATGTTTACAGTGGAGGCTAGTCCACAAGAAACCTTTCACGAGAAACCCAATCCTGAGACCCCGGGACGTTTATTGGTTTCGGGTGTTGGAGCGTCACGCTTTCCATCGCAAAACCGTCGGAACCCAAGAAACCCAGGGCACCCTGGAGGCGAGCAGGGTGTTTCTTGGCATGGTCATTGCACAGGCCTTGCAGACGTGCTGCAGCAGATTTTTACGTGGACTTCTGCGTGGATTTTTGCCCGAAGCGGCGAGCGAAAAACGAAGTGAATTTCGCGTGGATTCTTTTTGGTCTTCATTCCTGGCCCAAACAAATCCGCACACACACAACATTCACCTCGAAATCCGGAACGAAATTCTCCAGGACACTCCGGGCCCACCCTGTCGTTGTCCGAACGAGATCCGCTCTGCGACGTTGGCGCCATGAGGCACGGGCCTCCACTGTATGAGTATCGTTTAACCGATCCCCATCCCCAGCGGCGTGGCCTGGGCCCCACTGGCCGATTTACCCCCCTAGATGTGGATATAGGCCGTTCCCTTTGGGTTTCGAGGGGTGTCTCCCCAACTGGGGTGGTGATTTGGTGGGGGTCTCGACGGGGACGGGGATTGGGATGGGGGTCGGTCAAACGACACCGGCATGAGGCACGGGCCTCCACCGTATGCCGCTGTTCCCCCTTCGGGTACAGGAAGAAGACGTGATAGCGCCCCAGCAGGGCGCAGCAGCCCGCCAGGCACCCCAGGCTCGCCCCGACCCACGCTCGCCGGACGGCCCCGGCCGCACGCCGGCGCCTGCCCCGGCACGGCCCACACCGTCGCGCCCACGGATCCGTGGGCGCGCCACGCTGCACCGAGCGCGCTCCACTGCTCGCAAAGTGCCTACTCGCAGCGGTCAGACACAAAATGGTCTGCCTCGGTGTAGGCTGTCGTGCACCTCCCATGGCGGACCCGGGTCATTTGCGAGCAGTGCCTGTGCGAGTAGCGGAACGCGCGTGTCGAACCCTGGCGCGGCCACCAGCGGGCGACCGCACCGATCCTCGGCCCCCAGGCAGGGGCCTTCGGGGATCTACTGCTAGGCCGGGCGTGTCCTCCTGCAGGGGGGATGTTGGGCGAAAAAATCAGAAAAAAATACATTTGAAAAAATGCCGCAAAATGATTCAAGCATACAACAACAAATCGTCCCCAGACTATTTTTGGACTATTCTTGAACTTTCCTCCTGTAGAGGGACAGGCCGGACTTACTGGCCCGGGTCAATCCAGACCCGAGTCAGTCAGGCTTTGCAGGATTCTGCAGGATCCTGCGGGATCCTGCACCCGAGCCCGGGTCACTGCGCCCCTGGCCCTGCAGGATCCTGCAAGATCGGGCGCTCTGACTCGCCCCCGGCATCGACCCCCGTCTCTCAAATCCCGAGGCCTCGCGCAGGGCCTCCGGAGGCCGCCGGACGTGCCCAGAGGTCCCTGGAGGCCCCTGGGGGCCTCAGGAGGACAGCGGCTGCCTGCGAAAGCCCCTGGGCAGCCTGGAACGGCCCCTGGGGCGTTGCTCGGAGGGGGGGCGATCGACGGAGGGGGCGAAGAGACGTGTGCACCTTTCGTGCCCCCTTTGGGCCCCATGGGGGCCTCTTCAGGGCTTCTGGGGTGCACGAAAGGTGGGGTATAGGGCCTGCGTGCGCCACGCCAATGTTGGGAGTACCACCGGCAGCCTGCAAGCACCGCAGCATGCCTGTGAGCAGCGCGCCACGCCTGTGGGGGAACCGCCCCCTCCCCCGCGTATGTTCGGGATTGCTTCGGGGAGGGAAAAGGGGGAAGGGCGGGCACGACAACCCCACCCTGTAAGGGACTATACGGGTTCACCGAAATAAATAAAGAACCTCACGCCAAACCGACCCTCGTCGCTGCGGACCCTGGCGCGTTGGACGAGAAATGGGGGAGCGAAGAAGCGTGCACCTTGCATGCCCTGTTTGGGGCCCAAAGGGGCGACTCGGTTTCTGATCGCTCCCGTGGCAGCCCTACATCAGGACTGCCTGTGTAATCCATAAACTAAGCATACGTGTGTAGATCGCCAACTAAAAGGCTTCATTTGAAAGGGAGCCGATTAAATTTGGGAGGAGGCCGAGCGACACGAACATCAATAACAGAAACGTCACACGTTTGAGTGAATTCCCATTTTTCCCCAATCCTCCTGTAGTCGTGGGTCCTCGTTTTGCAGAGACAGCGCCCCGCGTCCTCACTCCTCTCTTCCTTCCCCTCCTCCCACTTCCGATCCCTGCCAGTGCCCTCCGCATGCCAGGACGGACAAGTCGCCTGGCGAAGGACGCAACCATATGCACTTGTGAATATCGCATTTTTGGAGATCGTCATCGGTGGAGCTCCCTATGGGGTCACGAAGCGCTGTACTGGGCGGGGGAAACGCATGCGAACTTTGTCACTGGGGCCTTCGGTGGAGCACCCTATGGGCCACGACACGCTGTCCTAGGTGGGGGGGGCGCAGGCGATGTTTGCCACTGGGGCCTTCGGTGAGCTCCCTATGGGGCCACGAAGCGCTGTAGTGGGTGGGGGAGACGCATGCGAACTTTTCCACTGGGGACTTCTGTGGAGCTCCCTATGGGGCCACGAAGCGCTGCGCCCTGAGTGGGAAAAACGGATGTGGACTTTGCCACTGGGTCCTTCGGCGGAGTTCTCTATGAGGCTACGAAGCGCTGCGCAGGGTGGGAAGACGCGTTTGGACGGTGCCATTGAAGCTTCGGTGGAGCTTTCCATGGGGCCACGAAGCGCTGTACTGGGGGGGGGCGGGGGCGCGCATTCGGACGGTGCCACTGGGGCTGCCGGTGGGGCTACCTATGAGGCCACGGAGCGCTGTACTGACTGGGGGAGACGCATGCGGGCGGTAGCTCTGGGGCCTTCGGTGGAACTCCCTATGGGGCCACGAAGTGCAATACTGGGAGGGTGGGGGGGCGCATGTGGGCGGTAGCACTGAAGCAGTCGGTGGAGCTCCTTATGGGACCACGAAGCGATGTGCCTGGTGGGGAAGACGCATGCGGGGAAACGTTATACTGGGTGTGGGGGATACGCATGCGGGCGGTAGCAATAGGACCTTCGGTGGAGCTCCCTATGGGGCCACGAAGCGTGTAAGGGGTGTACCGAAGTGGTTGACTGGTGCGGAGGGCAGCGGCAGGGCTGGGAGGAGGAAAGAGGGGGAGGTGGAGAGGGGAGGAGGAAGGACGCGGGGCGCTGTCCCTTCAAAACGAAGACCCAACACCACGGGATGGTTGGGACACATACTATTCACGCGAGTTGCCAGGTAACAGCGACTGGGGAGCGACACGCAAACTACTCCACTCCACGACTCGCCATGTGGCATTGCCTGTGAGGCGGAACGCAAATTTGTTCACTCTCCTCGCCACGCGGCAACGCTGCGGGAGCGAAAAACATTATGTTCCACTCTACGCGCCACGTGGCAACGTTCGAATGGGGGGGGCACATACTACTTCACTGTACCCACCACGTGGTAGCGCCTGCGGGGCGACACATGCTTACTCCACTCTAATCGGCACGTGGCAACCGGGCGGGGCGGCAAACATGCGACTCCTCTCTACTCGCCACATGGCAGCGCCACGTGGCAAGGCCACGTGGCAAGGCCTGAGAAGCAGACTAAATGATTAGCCCACTCCACTCGCAACGTGACAAGGACATAGGGAGCGAAAACTACGTATACATTCGTTCAACTTATCACGTGGCAATGCCGCGCGGGCCGAACATATACAATCCCACTCTACTCGCCACGTGGCAGCGTGTGGGGTGCGAAACCATAAATTTCATTATACTCGCCACGTGGCAACGCCATTGGGCGGGAACACATAGAGCGCCACTCCGTTCGCAACGGGGCAACGACAGGCCAGCGAACAAAATACAATACAACCTGGCGCGCAACGTGACCACACCGCACACATAATAATGAAAACTACCCTATTGCAATCGACGTGGAAACGCCGCGGAGGCGAACACCAAAATCTACTCGGCACGTGGCTCCAACGCGGACGAAGACAACGAAGACGACAGGACCGACGACGACGACGACAACGACAATGACAGTGACGACGACGACGACGACGGCGACCAAGACGAGCACGAGGACGAGGATGATGACGACGACGAAGACGAGGAGGACGACGACGAGGACGAGGACGAGGACGACGACGACGCCGCCGCCGCCACCGCGGCCGCCGCCGCCCGCCGGCCCGCCCGCCCGCCTGCCCGCCCGCGCGCCCGCCCGCCCGCCCGCGCGCGCGCGCCCGCTCGCGCGCGCCACGCAGCAACGCCGGGAGGGCCCAACTAATTTCGTCGTCGTCGTCGTCGCCGTCGCCATCGCCGTCGTCGTCGTCGTCGTCGTCGTCCTCCTCCTCGTCATCGTCGTCGTCGTCATCATCCTCGTCCTCGTCTTCGTCGTCGTCGTCGCTGTCATTGTCGTTGTCGTCGTCGTCGTCGCCGCCATTCAGGGTCGGCGGCACTGGCCGTAAGTCCTTCGCAATATTGCTCCACTCTTCTTGCCACGTGGCAGCGCTCGGAGGGGGGAACCAATACTACACCACTATACTCGCCACGCGGCAGCGCTGGGGTACATGGCAACGGAGCGGGCCGGGAGCACATGCTGCTCCTGCCCCCTCGCTCCTCCCTCCGCCCTCCCACTTCCTCCTCCTCTTCCTCCTCCTCTCCCCCATCCCCATCCCTCTTCCATCCTGCCTCCTCCCTCCTCCCTCCTCCCCCTCCGCTCCCTCCTCCTCCCTCGTCCCTCTGCTCGGCACACGGCAGCACCTGCTAGGCGGAAAATGAAACTATTCCACTTTACTCGCCACGTGGCAAACGCCTGGGGTGCGGAAAGTATGCAACTCCACTCTCCTCGCGACGTGGCAACGCCTCAGAAGACACTGCTATTCCACTCGAACTGTCAGGTGGAAGCGAATGCCAAACGAAACAACAACTACTCCACTCCACGGCTCGCTACGTAGAACTGCCTGCGGGGCGGAACACATCTTATCTAACCATGCTCGCCGCGTGACGGCGCGGGGGAAACGAAACAAATACTGCTCCAATCACATCGCCACGTGATAACGCTCGGAAGGGGGAAACAAATACTACTCCACTGTACCCTCGACCAAGATAGTAAGGATGCGCGGTAAGGATGCAAGGGCCTTGGAACGCCATGTTGACGTTTTCCGTGAAAGGCGCAGCAGAATGCCGAAGGATGCCGAACACCGAAGGGGCAAGGATGCAAGGGTAGCCTTGTAAAGCTGCCCCATCCTTACCATCATGGTTGACTGTGCTCGCAACGTGGCAGCGCCTGCGGAACGCACGCCCGCAGCGCTGGCCTGCGCGCCCGCTGCCCGCCCACCCGCCCGCTCGCGCCCGCGCACCCGCCCGCCCAACCCGACCGCGCGCGACCGCGCGCCCGCTCGCGCAGGCCGAGTGGCAACGCCAAGGGAGCGAAACAAATACTGCTCCACTCTCGTCGTCGTCGTCGTCGTCGCCGTCGCCGTCGCCGTCGCCGTCGTCGTCGTCGTCGTCGTCGTCGTCGTCGTCGTCGTCGTCGTCGTCGTCGTCGTCGTCACTGTCATTGTCGTTGTCGTCGTCGTCGTCGTCGCCATTCAGGGTCGGCGGCACTGGCCGAAAGTCCTTCGCAATATTGCTCCACTCTTCTTGCCACGTGGCAGCGCTCGGAAGGGGGAGCAAACACTGCTGCCCTAAACTCGCCGCGTGGCAGCGCCT